AGACCTGTGTACATAAATACTCCCATTTTACAGAGGCCATAAACCGTGAAACTATATACAAACTCCAGAGGGAGTTATCAGCGCTGGTGCCAGGCCAGGCCTCTATGTCTGGTCTCATGGTCCTCATCCCAACACATGGGCTTTTTGTAATTCCTGAGAAAGGTCTGGAAGTCCCATCCATATTTGGAGGACAAAGAAACCAAAGGATATAATGAGAGGGCTACCTCCATATTGGTGGGCACAGGATTTGGAAAGAGGCTCCCCTGAGTGTGCATGTGAAACCTCTGAAAATAAAAGGATTTTTCATATCTCCAAGGACTCCTCTATATTTTTTGGTTACTTGTTAAATTCTGTACCAGTGCCATAGTAGATGAGATCACAGTGAGTGGAGTCACAATAGGTGAGGCCACAGTGGGTGAGGTCACAATGGGTGAGGCCAAAGTGGGTGAGGTCACAGTAGATGAGGCCACAGTGGTTCTGCTGGTTGTAAGAGTATCAGCCTCTTGCCCATGCCTGTCACTGCAGAGTGGAAACACCCTGATCTTTGAGGCCTGGATCCAAGGAATGGCAAGTCAGTGGCAACTGGTTAAACAGAGCTCCTGGAGGTTCATCATTTTCTTTATATTCATGAAGAGAAAACAAATTTGTAAAGGAAATGCCTCTGACCTCTTCCTGCACCTGCATTTGGGCTAGATCCCTGTGTGTAGTGAGTCCTGAATCCACCCAGGTGTTTTGAGTACCACTTACTGGCATTGAACACCCCCTGGTGCCATGAGCGCCCCCTGCAGCCCAGCTCTGCTGTCTTCCTCAGGGTGATTTGTGTCTGGGCTCACACTGACTTCCCCTCATTGTGTGTCTCTAGCACAGTAATACATGACTGTGACCTTGGCTCTCAGGCTTCTCATTTTCAGAGTTAGCTTGTTCTTGGTGTTGTCTCTGGAAATGGTGAATCCGCCCTTCACAGAGGCAGCATAATATGTGATACTACTATCACCATAATGTTTGAGACCCACTCCATCCCTGGAGCCTGGCTGACCCAGATCATCCAGTAGTAACTGAAGGTGAATCCAGAAGCTGCACAGGTACAACTCAGAGACCCCCAGTGGCACCAAGCCTCCCCCAGACTTCACCAGCTTCACTTCACACTGGACACCTGCAAACACAGATACACAAGATAGACTTAGAATCACATGGAAGCAAATACTAGCACAGGCAAAGGTCTCAGCACTCCCCACTTCTGAGAATGACCTTGAGAAGTGGAATAAAATGCAGCATGGCACCAGGTTCATGGTAGAACCGCTGGGGTCCTGTCTCAGGCACTTGGGTTCTGGGTGTCTCCCAAACATGCCCAATTAGGCCCTCCTTTGTGGTCAGGAGGAGAGCCTCATTTGTATGGAGTCTGGATATAATGGAGCAGATTCTTTAGAGTCATTCCTGTTGTTGAAGAGCCAGTTAGCCAATCTCCTGTCAGAGCTGAAGGCCATAGCCTCTGGCAACAAGGAATATGACATATTATGCTTAGTAGGAAAGTACCTGGATGAACTACCTGGGACAGAAGCTTCTGCAACATAAAGAATCAGAACAGCAAGCCCAGGAGGAGATAAACCCGTTGGAAATGCCTGCTGAAATGTCAGGTAAATAGACCCAACAACACCTGAAGGCAACTAGGCAAGTCTCCCCATGGCAGTAGGTCCCCAATCATCTGCATAAGATTCTGATCTTATCTATTGTACTTGACAGAAGACTACTATCCTTTGATGGTGTGTGCACAAACAAGTTTGTTGCTGCATTTATAAAAAAGAAAAGTACAGCCGAAACCGGTTTGGCTCAATGGCTAGAGCGTCGGCTTGGGGACTGAAGGGTCCTGGGTTCGATTCCGGTCAAGGGCATGTACCTTGGTTGCGGGCATATCCCCAGTAGGGGGTGTGCAAGAGGCAGCTGATCGATGACTCTCTCTCATCGATGTTTCTAGCTCTCTCTCTCTCTCTCTTCCTCTCTGTACAAAATCAATAAAATATATTTAAAAAAAAAAAAGAAAAGTACAATCATGCTGGGAGGGGAGAGCATGGTAGGTAAAATACCACAAAACCTTACTTCTCTCTTCCTTTTAAAAATATGTTTTTAATTGATTTTAGAAAGAGGGAATGGGAGAGGAATAGAGATGTAGAAACATCAAGAGAGACAAACGTGGTTGGGTTGCCTTCTGCACAAACCACAATGGGGACCAAACCTGCAACCCAGGCATGTACCCTGAATAGGAATTTATCTGGTGATTGCCAGAAGCCAAATTCAGCATGTCAGCAGGGATGAATCATGGAGAGATGGCTGAGGGAATTTCCTCAAACCTGAAAAGGATGCCTAAAATGATTGCTGCCAGACAGCTAAAGGCATCTTAATATACATGTTATTACCTCCTAATAGCCAAACACCTGAAGAGCCATAGGCAAATTCTTCCAATCTGACAATGAATTCTGTGTATTCGAAACCCTACCCTTTGTTGTATATGTCACTACCTTGCCTTAGGACAATTTGTGTTAATAAATAGCAAGGGTGCCTGAGACAAGGAGAATTTAGTTTCTTTAGCTAAATTTTTCTAACTCCCCAATAGGCCTTTCAAAATTGTGTTTCATCTCTGGACTCTAATTTAATGTATACACAGACCCTTTTCCATATTTCTGAACCCTTCTAGATGCTGTATCAAGACCACTGGCAGGTGACCACCTGGGGCCTGGGTTAATGTTCAACCACTGAGCCACAAGAGCCTGGCTGCATCTTCTTTTCTTTGTCCTCACCTGAGGATGTGTTCATTGATTTTTATTTTATTTTTTATTATTTTTTAATAGTGTTTCTTTTTTTTTCTTTTCTTTTTTTAATATTTTTTATTGATTTTGCACAGAGAGGTAGGGAGAGAGATAGAGAGTTAGAAAAATTGATGAAAGAGAGTCATCGATCAACTGCCTCTTGCACACCCCCTACTGGGGATATGCCTGAAACTAAAGTACATGCCCTTGACCGGAATCGAACCCGGGACCCTTCAGTGCCCAAGCCGACACTCTATCCATTGAGCCAAACCGGTCTCGGCCATGTTCATTGATTTTTAGAGGGAAATGAGAGGAGAGAGAAAAAAAATTGTTCAGTTGCCTCCCATATATTTTCATACTGCAAATCCAACCTGCAAAAATTTCATTTATTTATTAATTAGAGGTGTGGTGCACAAATTCATGCACAGGTGGGTTCCCTTGGCCTGGCCTGTGATCAGTGCCAATCAGGGCTATTTTGCCCAGTCATAGTGGGGGCTGGCCTGGGGGAGGGACCATGGGAGGTTGGCCAGCCACAGAAGGTTGGCTGTGGGAGTGTACTGACCACCATGGGGCAGTTCCTGCATTGAGTGTTGGTCAGTGTCCATCATAGTTACCAATTGACTGGTTGACTAATAGTTCAGTCACTTGGACACTTAGTCTTTTATATATTTACATACATTTCTATTGATATCAGAGAAGAAGGAAGAGGGAGAGAGATATAAACATCAATGATGACAGAGAATCATTGATTAGCTGCCTCCTGCATACCCCACACTGGGGATGTTGCTCACAACATGGTCAAGTGCCCTAACTCAGAATTGCACAGTGACTTCCTGTTTCCTAGGTTGATACTCAACCCCTGAGCCACACTGCTGGGCTGTTGCTGCACTTTCAGGATTCATAGAGCTCCCTGTGTACCAGGGCTCTGAACACTGGGACATTGGCAACATAATAGGTGACCAGGCACCAGCTCTTCCCTGACTGCCTTCTGACCCAAGTGGCCATGGACATGTTTACCACAATGTTCTGTAGCTCATGGGCCCCTGGAGGTTCCCTCAGCAAAGGTGTGAGCTGTTGGAGGTTCTCTGAGGTCAGTGGTCAGCTGTGTCTCCACCTGACACAAGTGGGGCTTCTGTACCCTGACATCACACACGAGCACTGCACGTGGGCTCAGCAGGGTGGCTGAGGTTGGCTTCAGGTCGCCTTAGTGGCCCTGGCCATGGCCTCTCAGGAAGGGCCTGGCACAGGAGCTGGGCATGAGGGGACGGCTTGGGGGTTCATTTAAGGCAAAACCTACCAGGCGGGAAGGAGAGGGCAGAGCGCAGCCACATGGGATGTCCCGTGCAGGCCCGATGGGGTGAGAATGTGGGTGGTACAGGAAAGAGGGTGAGGATGGGGTGGTATCTGTGGAGCCTGTAGGCACAGCAGAGGTGGGTGGGGGCCAAGACTCCTTCAGCAGTTTCTCAGGATCCAGGTGAATTCTCCAGGGCAACAGGGACAGCTGTTGGGACATGTCCCATAGGACTGTGTTCTGAGACCCATGGGGAACAGGGCCCAGCAAGGCTGTCAGGCCTCGTCACTGGGCTTCCTTCCTGCCTCCATCCCAGGACTCACTGAGAGCTGGGTCCAACTTGCAGGCTCACTTAAAGGAGCAGCGTCCATGGAGTCAGACCCTAAACAGCCAAGTGCAGAGACAAGTGACTAACTGCTTTCAAAGACTCCTCCCAGGGCTGAAGGAGAAGTTCATCACCCTCAGGTTGGTCTGGGGTCAGGATTCTGTGTTCCCCACTCAGCATTGCACAGGAGCGTGGATGACATCTCTCTCAGGGAACAGGAATCCCTACAATGTTTTCCTTGTCAATCTGGACAGCAACCACCAGGGACATGGTGACAGGAAGCGCACAGATGACAAGTCCACCAGATCTGAAAACACAGCCACTTCCTCTTTTTTTGCCTGCAGAGAATCTAATTAAAGACACAGGAAGTAAGCAGGATCTGCCTCAAGGACAACAGGAGAGAAGAAAGCATTGACCCCAATAGGAAGCCTGCACAACCCCTCCAGGAACAGCCTCTGAGCTCAGACCCTGGGTTTGCTGGTCCTGCGTGCCCCCTGGTGTCTTGGAAAGCTCCTGAAGCCCAGCCCTGCTGTCTCCTCAGGGAGGTTTGTGTCTGGGCTCACACTGACTTCCCCTCACTGTGTCTCTTGCACAGTAATACAGGGCCGTGTCCTCGGTTCTCAGGCTGCTCATTTGCAGGTACAGCATGTTCTTGGCGTTGTCTCTGGAGATGGTGAAGCGGCCCTTCACAGAGTCTGCATAGTATGTGCTACTGCCTGTATTAGCAATGCGTGAGACCCACTCCAGCCCCTTCCCTGGAGCCTGGTGGACCCAGTTCATGTAGTAGCTACTGAAGGTGAATCCAGAGGCTGCACAGGAGAGTCTCAGAGACCCCCCAGGCTGCACCAAGCCTCCCCCAGACTCCACCAGCTGCACCTCACACTGGACACCTGCAAACACAGAGACACAGGGAGACTTAGAATCACATGGAAGCACAAACAGGCACAGGCACAGGGCTCAGCGCTCCCCACTCCTGACAATGACCTTGGAAAATGATCAGGAGAAAAACGCAGCTTGGCACCAAGTCCATGGTGGAGCTGCTGGGGTCCTGTCTCAGGCACGCGGGTTCTGGGTGTCTCCCAGCATGTGGAGCTGGGTCCTCTTTTATGAGCAAGTAGAGAGCCCTATTTGCATGGAGTCTGGATATAAGGGTGCAGCTGGAACACTTGGCTGCATGCCTGACCTTGTCATCCTAGGGTCACCCAGATGGGAAAGGACTTTAGGATGCTGGCCACAAGGGGTTTCATTCTGACCACCCTCCCTCCCTCCTTTCTGGACATGTGGTCACCCTGAACCCTTCCTTTGGGGGTAGCTTCCAGGATTGAGAGTCCTCCTTCCTGGGGTTTTGATGAGGACCCAGGGGTGCTGACCCAGGAGGTACTGAGGATCGGGCTTCCTCTTGCTCTCCATCACCCACCCTGGGCCATGTTTGCTTTCTGGGTTTGGAAAAGAGAGTTGCTTTGGAATGATGCTTTTATTTTGAGACTAAAAATTGTCTTCATCATTTTCCACAATCAGCTCTTCCATAAAACTCTCACATGGACATGTGATGATGCAGGAGAGGCTGGGCTGGACACTGTGACTACAGCCTCTGAGTCAAAACTGCTGTCCCAGTCCAAAGTACCCAGCTGCCTTCCCGAAACACACAATTCGCTCAATTTCCCTGTTGTTCACATGCAAAAGTCCTGTTTCCCAGCCTCTCAAATTGGGAGAAGTTCCTTAATTCACAAATGGAGCCTTTGCTGGTATCACTCAGCAGTTGGAACATTGGCCCTGGCACCAAAAGCCTTGGGTTCAATTATTGGTCAAGGGCACATGCCTGGGTTCCAGGTTCTCTCCTGACCTCTGGAAGGGGCAATGGGGAGGCAGCCAAACCATGTGCCTCTCTCACATCAATGTTTTTCTATCTCTCTCTCTTCTTCCCTTCCTCCCTTTTTCCCTCCCTTCCTTCCCTCCTACTCTATGAAAAGCAATGGAAAACATATGGTAAATAGGTGAGAATTGGGTGAGAATAAAAAATAAAATAGGAACACTTTGACTTTGGGAAGAAGACCCTGGGTGGAAATGAAGGCACCAAGTTGTCCTCGGGGCAGGTGAGCCCCTCCCTTCTCAGGGGCAGAGGGGCCTCCTGCAAGTCAGTCCTCGGCTCTTCTTCTGGAACAGCCCTGTCCCACAGGCTCTCCCTTTGCCCCATGCAGCACAGGCCCCGGCCAGCTCAACTGGACTCGCTGTGGGTGAGGCCTCCAGGGCCCCACTCACTTTACCCAAGAGGAGACCATGCCCACACTAGGTCTGAGCGAGCTCACCTACTCCAAACCAGAGGCCTTGGTGTGGAGAGGGGAGACCTGCTCTGTGGACACATCATGAGCCCATTGCTCAGCTGCAATAGGCAAGGATTTTCCATGAACTGCATCATCTGCCCACACCGGGCTGATGGATGAGGGGTGCAGGGCAGATGCCTTGTCCCAAAGCCCTATGCTCTCTGATCATCCTCAGACTCAACTCGCACTCCCCAGGCTGCTGGTTCAGAGACCTGGGTCCTGGTTTAATAGAAATGCAGAGATGAGGGGTTTTAAGGCTGAGAGGGAGAGGGGTGGGAGTCAGTGTGCAATGGGGTGGGCTTCTCCTGGCTGCGATCAAAATGCTTTGGAAGTGGGCACAGTCAGGTGAGGACCGCACAACACAGCGAATGTGCCACATGCCACCCACTGTGCACTTTGTGGAGAAACAAGGTGACAGGTGACCAGGGGCTGCCAGTCCCCTCACAAGGTGATCTGGTCAGAATCCCTAACTGGACCATCTTGGGAGAGGCACCCCCAGGCCTTAGCTTTTTAGGGAAAGGCTTCTCTTTGTCTAAAGCCTGTTTTGCCAATAGTTCTTGAGCATCAGGTCAACACTCCTTTACAACAAGCCATACCCGCTCTTAGGGGAACACTCTTGTTAAGTGTCCTGAGATCCAGCTCTGCCTGCTCCCTCTCACCTCCTCAATCCCAAACATGTGCCAGAGAAGCTTTGGGAGCAACTCTGACCCTGGCGTTCTCAGGGCATCTGAGGTTCTGCTTTCTTGCAACTTTCTCAGGTTCAGCTCAGATAAACTCTTAAAAACTACTCCTCAGGTTTGGGCATGCGAATTCTACATGGTTCACTTAAGCTGTGGACGTTATGCAAATTCAACAGCCAAAGGGATCCTGGAAACGTGTTCACAGGGGTAGATGGGCACAGCTGGGGAGGCCTCGTTCCTAAGGAAGGGAACCTTACTTCCAAGACAACCAAAGCAAACTTGTTTTCCCTCCAACCCACGGGAACCCTTTAGACCTCATCTTGGCGAGCTCGCAGGTGTTCAGTAATTGTGTGCACTTCCATCTCCACAAGGGAAAGAAACAGGGATGAACGTATGTTGTAAATGAAGAGAAGACAATATGTTGATGTAAGAAATGTAAAAACATGAGAGAATGTTTATAAGATGTTATTGGAGCCAAACTGACAACTGTTGGAGAGCAAGACCTCAAATGCATGAAGAATAACCATTTGCAGCTGCATTTGTGGATTTGAAGTTAAGGAGGGAAGGTGTGGAAGGGACAGGGAGGAGAGAGGGAACCAGTTGGGGACTGGGTGCTAGGACAGTTACCAGGAGGTGCTCTCCTGAGGGTGGTCATGCTGGTGTCACAGGTGTGTCAACCAGAAGCACATGAACTATGGATGGGTGCTCAAGGCCAAGAGGAGCCTTTTAGTGAAGAAGTCATAGGCCTGGGGCCAGCCCATCCCCAGGACTGCCCAGGTAGGAATGTGTGATCAGAGCCTCCTGTGAGATTCCTGTCAGTCACTGGATTATGTCAGAAGAAAGACAGAGCCCCTTTATGATCACAAATATAATTCCTGAAGCTCGACATTGAAGCAGGCTTTTTCACTGTTATATATATAATTGATTTTTTACAGAGAGAAAGAGAGGGATAGAGAGTTAGAAACATTGATGAGAGAGAAACATCGATCAGCTGCCTCTTGCACAATCCATACTGGGGATGTGCCCGCAACCAAGGTACATGTCTTTGACCGGAATCGAACCTGGGACCCTTCAGTCCGCAGACAGATGCCCTATCCACTGAGCCAAATTGGTTTCGGCTTGGAGCAAAACTATTTTGAGGCACAGCAGGAAATGCTCACACTGACTTCCCCTCACTGTGCCTGTGGCACAGTAATACATGGCCGTGTCCTCAGTGGTCACGGAGCTCAGCTGCAGGGAGAACTGGTTCTTGGACATGTCAGGGTCGATGACTAACAGACTCTGGACAGATGGCACGGACTCTCTGTACCACTTGTACCTGAAGTAGGTCCTTCCCAGACATTGGAGCCCTTCCCCTGGGGGCTGCCTGACCCAGTCCCAAGTGGCACTGTTGCAGGAGACACTGTTCCCAGAGATGGCACAGGTGAGGGACAAGGTCTGCGAGGGCCGCACCACCGTGGAGCACAACTCCTGCAATTGTACCTGGAAGAGGACACCTGGGACAGAAGGAAGCAAAAAGATTACTCAGTCCACATCTCTGTGAACATGGCTGTGATCCGCCAGATCCCCAGACACTGACCGCAGGGGAGCCCCAGCATGGGAAGGAAGACGAGGAAGGAGACAGCCATGTCCCTGGGTCAGCCAGACTCAGCAGGCTCAGAGGGGGCAACTGGGTATGGGCCTTGTGGACCTTACCCCAATTCCAGAGCCTGTTCACCCACATTAATCTATTAGACTTCATTCATTCATTCATTCATTCATTTACTCATTCATTCATTCATCCATCCATTCCACCAACACTAAGGGCATAGGTGAGGATCTTCTCCCCAGGGACGCATAGGCGAAGGACATAGGCCTGGGTTTGTATTTTGCCTCCTGATCAGGTGCCCTCACCCTGAGCACAGGGAGCTGGGAACTAGGGGGCATCTCTGCAGGGAGCAGGAGCAGGAGGAGTAAGACACCAAATGGCCCAGGTGGATGCACAGAAGATCTTTCTTCTAAAGTGAACCCCGTGGTTAGTCTGCAAACAGCAATGACTCCTGCCCTGGTTGGTGTGGTCCAGTGGATAGGGTGATGGCCTGGAGAATGAAAGGTCCCACGTTTGATTCTGATCAAGGGCACCACTTCTGTGGCACGTTTCTAGCCCTGGTTGGGGTGTGTGCAAGAGGCAACTGATTGCTGCCTCTGTTTCACATTGATGTTTCTCTCTGTCTCTCCCTCTCCCTTGTACTCTCTCTAAACATCAATGGGAAAATACAATCAGTGAGGACTAACAAAAAAATGTTTTAAAAATAAATAAAAGAATGATGGTCTTGACAGGAGTCACAGGGGCGAGGTTCTGCTTGGGGAGTTTCTCGGGACAGGAAATAGGCCTCTGAGCTCCACCCCAGCATGGCCAGCTTTATTGGAAAGGGTTACTGAGTGTCCGCAGGTAAACAGAGTGCCAGAATGCGCAGCCTCAGTTAGCCAGGGTGAGGTGGAGACAACTAGAAAAAGCCTCAGCCCATTGTAAATTGCTGCCAAAGGAGCCTGAGGCCACTCCTGAGGAAACTATGAAGCCCATAGTACTCAGCCACTGAGGAGCCTGGGGTGGACTCTACCCTGATACCAGATCCCATAGCAAGAATTCTTCCTGGGTCTTGTCTCAGGAATCAAAGAATGAAGTCTTCAAATGGAGGCGTTCAAATGAGGCAGGGCAAGGGTAAAAATAACCTGTGATTGCTGCTCTGTATGTGCCTGTACGAGCAGACAGCCCTCTTGCAAGTATATAGTAAAAGGCTCATTTTCCCCTGTCCCAATTATGCCCCAATTAATTGATTATCTGCCTAGACTTAATGGTATAAACTCAGGTGAACAGTGGTCAGCAATAAAGGTCTATCCTCTGGTGCTTCAATGTCTAGACTGCAGATCCAAACTTTAACATGTGAACACACAAGACAGAATTAATTTACAATCACACAGGTTTATTTACCTATTCCTAGTGGGTTCTAGGCTCCTGCAAAAGCCACTAGGTGATTCACACTGAAGGATGGACGACAAAGATGGAGACAGACAGGCAACTGCAGTTGGTTCAGGCTCACACAGCAGAGCAGTCTGTCAGGGGCTCATCTCACAGAGGACATGGTGTCCTCCTCCTCTATGAGGCAGGAGATGTGGACTGAAGAAGGTCTGGTGCTTAGATAGCTGGTAGTAAACAACTTGTGTCTTAGTGTGGGCAAGATGGTGTGCTCTATGATAGGAACAGGGCGTTCACACTTTAAGGGCTCAGGGTGTTCACATCAAGATAATGGGGCGTTCACCATGTTTATAACATTTTGGAAGTTACAGGGAATCGGGGTCTTCACACACCAAACATTTCACACAATAATCATTTCCCACATTAGAGGGTTTCCTTATGAGCACCTTATATAATAATAGAGTAATATGCAAATTGACAATCATTCCAACACACAAGATGGCTGCCCCCATGTGAACACAAGATGGCCACCACAAGATGGCCAGCAGGGGAGGGCAGTTGAGAGGGACAAGGCCTGCAAGGGAGGGTGATTGTAGGTGATCAGGCCAGCAGGGGAGGACAGTTAGGGGTTGTTAGAGTGGGAATTTTTGAACACTACTGAGGCCATGGACTGTGCCCCAGATAGAGTTGTCACTGTTGATACCAGGCCCGCCCTTGAATGTAGGCCTTCTTTCATAGATCACTGTCAGTTTTCTAAAGAACAGGATGACCCTGTGAATAACATGGTCATCAATGGCATGACTCTGACATTGCTTAAGAAAAACTGTTTTGTCTTGGGTTGCTTGTTGCACACACAGGATGTGGTAAATGGGCTTAAAAGTGGTCCTGCAAAAAGGATCATGGCTGCTCACCTGACTCCCTGTATGGAGAATGGCAGAGCAGTCGCCTGGATGGCTGGCTAATAAATTCTTCCTAAATTTTAATTTGGTCTGGTCTCCAGTGGTTGTTCACTCACCTTCACTCCACAAGAGGGGAGACCAGGCCAGCAAAAGAGGGAAGTTGGGGGTGATTGGGAATGCAGGGAAGGGCAGTTGGGGGTGACCAGACCTGCAGGGGAGGACAGTAAGTGGCAACTAGGCTGGCAGGAGAACAGTTAAGTATCATCAGGCTGTCAGGGGAGTGGTTAGGGGGTGATCAGGCTGGCAGGAAGAAGTGGTTAGGGGAAATCAGGAAGGCAGGCAGGCAAGCAGTTGGGAGCCAGCAATCCTGGATTGTGAGAGTGATGTAAGACTGCCCCTTTAGGCAGTCAGAAATCCCTGGAGAGGTCCCAGATTGGAGAAGGTGCAGGCTGGGCTGAGGGACAACCCTCTCTTTCCCCCATCCACATGAATTTTGTGCACTGGGCCTCTAGTAGCATTATAAAAAGCACATTTCCCAGGAGGGTCCCCTGCCCAAAGGAGGTGGAGACACTAGGAAAGGCCTTGCCCATGTGATAAATATCCCAATAGGAGACAGCAGGGCCTAGGGGAGGATCCTGAGAGGAGGGGAGTCCCATAGTCCTCAGCCAATGAGAAATGGGAGGGACCTCTCCAATGGATTAAGTTTCCTGTGGTCCCTTCTCTGTGCCTTCTACACACAGACTCCGCCCTGAAGACCTGAGGGCCCTGCCTCCTGCCCCAAGACAGCTATTTGAATTCCTGCCTCCTGCCCAAAGACAGCTATTTGAATTCGCACAGGTGAGTGTGTCTCAGGACTCTGAGGTCTGACTGTGGCACAGAAGGAGGAGGGCCTGTCCCACCGCAGGGTTTTCCTTTTTGGCCCCATCCAAGCCCCCTGGTGCACATCGGTGTGGGGAGAGGGTGGGGTGTGGGCTCCTTGCCAGGAGGAGGAGACCCTGGGGCGTGGAGACAGGGCCTGAAGAGCTGACCTCGCTGGGCTCTGGACAGTTCCCAGGAAGGATGGGGTGGGGACAGTGTAGTTAATGAGGGAGAGAGAGGCCCACCTGGTCCAGTGAGTGTTGCCTGAGGACCAGCCCCAGGGGTCTGCCAGGGACCCAGCAGCTTTGGGAACTGGAGGGGGTCCTGTTGAATGGAAGTGGGGTGGGGATGTCACCCACAGGGGCCACCCTGGTAGCCCTGAGACTGCAGGGAGGAAGCCCAAGTTTCTATTCAGAGATGATGTCATTATTCACATGGAAAATCCCAAAGGATCTGCAAAGATAGACAAGGATACAAATTGTTGGGTGTATCAGTACCAGTCAGTGGGAAAATGCATTGAGACAGAAAAACAACAACCCCTGTGAAGCATAAACAGAGAAACACCTGAGGATCAGCCTATAGCATGACACCCAGGCTCTGCCCAAGGAAAGTGATAATAAAACAGGAAGTTTAGTGGAATATAGGCAGGCTTATGGAGGTTTTAAAATTTGGGCCCATAAAAAAAACACAGGGCTGCAGACTGGGAGAAGTGTTAGGCACAGATTTTGTGATCCCCAAGGACCACCAGGGAGCCGAGTCCAATGCAATAGCAGAAAGCCTGTTCCATGCTAGCATGGGCTCTGTCCCACTTACACCAACAGCGGCATGGCAGAAGAGAAGGAGCTTCAACAGATCAAAGGGTTTTATGGGGGTCTGGGGAAGGGATTGTGATGTCACTGCTTTGGCTAACCCTGATTGGTTGGGTGAGGGCTAGGGTCTAGTTACATAATGGAGGATCAGGAGTTCAGCCCTGCCCTCTCATTCCGAGGAGTTAGCC